TGGGCGGCCGGGGTGGCCGTGGAGCGGCGCGGGCAGTGCGGCCCCGAGGCACTTCGCTGGACCCTGGGTTAAAGGGCTGTGCCCGACGGGCTCTGCCTGCCATCGCCGCCCTGGCCCCGCGCTGGAGCGGCGGGGGGGAGCGGACCTCCGCAACCCGGGGAGCTGCCGTCCTGCCCCGAGGGTTCGCATCCCTCATGTGCCGCCTGCTGCGTCCACTTGACACGGCTCCGGCTGGGTTACCCGCAGCGCGGCCGGGGTACTGTCGGCTAATCCCGTTTCCACTCCACTGTCCCTGTGTGACTGCAGTTAGTTTCAGCGATGCTTGCGGGAGAATCTCCATCTCCCTGTGCCCGCGGCCGCCCGAGACCCTCGGGGTGCTGCTGACCCCCTCCGGCAGGACGGGAGGCAAGGGGTGGGCTGGGATGGACCCGTTCCTGATGGAAATCACAGCACCTCGCTGGCTTCTGCCGGGGATGACAAACTGTGTGGTGAGTGAGCTCTGGGCTTGGCGGCTGGGGGACTTTGGAGACAAGCAGGTGTAAATGGCCGGTGTTTCAACTGAAGCAGCTGGTCCTGTAAGCCCCGTGGGGAACTGTCCGAGCAGAAGTCTGAGCATCAGTGTTTCACTTCCAAAGCTTTTCGTTCAGTTGTGACAAGAGATTAATCCTCATATGGTTGTTGGAGAAGCGGCTCGGGAATGGATTCATGGGGCGGGGAATTTTCATTTCTTGTTTTGCCACAGTGTGCTCCTGGCACGGGCAGGCTGATGATGCTTTCCCCCCTGCAATTCAGTGCCCTGCAGAGGAGAGATGGGAGGTAATGCAAAAGTCCCTCTTGAGAACCAAAGCGTGGCAGCGTGGCTCTGCCTTGCAAGCTCATTAAGTGAATGAATCTCAGGGATGCTTGGTTCAGACAGGGCTCTTGCAGGAAAATTTATAAAGTAATTAAAAACATTTTAATGGAAAGTACTAACCATCTATAACACGGCATCTGTTGTCATGTCTTTGGAAAAACACATCTAAATTAAGAGGATGGGAGACAGCAAGACAGACTGGTGGGCTTTCTGCTGAAACAGACAGCTGGCCAGGGCTGTGAGGGAATATTGGTGGAAACTCCTTCCCATCTGTAGCATCAGGCCAGGCCTTGGCTCCCTGGACTGCTCTGGGAACATGAGGCAGAGCTGTCTTTGGCAGGAATCAGTTCAGCAAGGAGTAGGGAGGAGCAGCTCTGTGGTGTTTCCATCTCATCCCTCAGCAGGTGTGAAGACAGAGAGTTCGTGGGGAAAGTGTGGAGGAACATCTGCAAGGAGCTTTGGCATCTCTGCACTTACACAGTCTGGCCTGGAGAGGAGGGAATGTCCTCTGCTGTTAAAATGTGATGAAATGGGCAGGGCAGTGAAGGGAAATAAATTTGAGATGGTCCCACATGGCATCAGCAGCCTCACATTCCCTGTGGGAGAGGGAAACAACCTGGGTCCTGCTTCATTTTTGCTGGGGTGTCTCAGCCTTGATGGACAATGGCAGTAATTAGCTTCGATGTGAGAATGAGTGCCAGCAGGAAAGGGGTCAGACCAAAAGGTGATGGGCTTCTGGTATGGCGTGGTTCTCCAGTTCTCTGCTTCCAACCTTGTCCCGTGGCACAGTCGTTAGGGCTGGTGCAGGAGGATTTGTAAAGTAATTGAAAACATTTTCATTGAAAACACTGACCATATATACTGCAGCATCTGTAGATCATATCTCTGGAAAAGCCCATCACTGTTCTGAGACTTGGAAGCACCCAGGCAGGCTGGTGGACCTTCTACCTTGGCAACTGCTTTGGCCGAGAGCTTCACTTTGCTCTGCTGCTGCCTTGAACAGAGTTTCTTGCAGCTGAACTTCTTCCCCCTTAGAGCGACCATTTAATATCCTGTGGCCACCCAGCTCCCATGTTGGAAGCAGAGGATGTGGTAGCCCCTGCCCTTACCAGGCATGCTGGGACTGCCACCGGCAGCATGGCAGAGCTGTTGGGGGCAGCATTTCTGCTGTTTGCCTTCCAGCCTGGTCTGGAGGCCACTGGCTGCCTCCAACATCTCTCTCCAATTCTCCATGACCATGGCAAATAACTAGCCTGGTCCTTACGGTCGCATGTCCGATCCAAGGGGCAAACAGTAGCCCATGTCCCAGGGCAGTCGCACTTAGTGCTTTTGAGTTGCTGCACTTCCTCCTCCCTGAGAGCCTGGGAGGGAGTAAGCTGCTGTGGGGGGCTCTACAGAGGAGAGACCCACACTACCTTGCTGAGCCAGGCCTTGGGTCCTTGGGTCATGTTTTTGGCAGGGTGAAGCAGTCTTCTGGGAGCCAACCAGGCTGGTGGGTTCAGCAGAGTATCTGTTTGCCTGGGCTGAAGAATTTTTCCTTACAGCCTTGGCTTGTCAGTGTGCTTTGTGGATTCAGGATTGCTGGAATATGGCTTAATCCTAGCACCACAGTGGGCAGAGGGGACAGACTCAGACCTGGTGTGGGGGACTTGTGCTGCCGTTCTGGCTCTGCACTGTGTCTGAAACATGGGGTGTGTTGTTGAGCCCACACCATGGCCAGCTGTGTCTTCCTCAGTAAAGTTGGTTGTATTTACTCTGATCTGTTCCCTTCCAGGGGTGCCTTTTATAAAGCACAACAGCAAAATAATTCAGAGGGTTTCTCATGTTTGCCCTACACTGTTCTCCTTCCCCCATTGGGGTTGTGAAGGTGCTTGGCTCAGCCTCAGCAGGAGGTGTATGGTGGTAGCTGCTGCTGATCTTTGCAAGGCTGGGAGAGCTGCTGGTGCTGCATGCTTTGCCTCTCTCATGGACCCAGGGTTGAACAAATTGTATTCGTCTTGATAAAGAAAAACAATAAGAAAAAAACAAGAAGCGATTTGTTTCTGTTCCACTATTAGGGCATTGCAGAGAGAAGTTTGCCCAGGCAGGCGAGCGTGGGCTCAGGAGGTCAGTGTGTTAGAGGATGAGGGCAGCTCTGGTGGCTTTACACATCTGCCTTTACGTCAGGAACAGGGGGTGGCATGGGCAATGCCTCTGAAGGAGCTGCTGCCTCTGTAATTGCCAGTGGCCGCTGCTTGAGTCAGTGGAAACCTTGTCCCTGTGGATGGGCCGCCACCTCGAGTTCTGCTGCCTGGAGGCTGAGCCTCATTCTCAAGGACCATCTCTCCCAGCCTCTCCTCTGCATGTTGGCTGTGGATGAGGGACCCTTGTAGTCAGGAGCAGCTCTGCCCAACAGCATCTCTGCAGAGCCTCAGACACCACCACCTGGGGAGAGACTTGTTTGGGGCAAGGGGGAAGGTACCACCAGGTCACCTAACTGTTGCTTTTCGGCGTGGGGCCTGCAGCTGGCACCTGGCTGATAGTGAGGGAAAGGGTCCAGGTAACAGCACTCCAAGGGGTGAAGGGAGATGGCTGAGCGTGTCGCTCAGCCCCTTGGCAATCCTCACCATCCAGCCCTGCTTTTTCAGTTGCTGGGTGGCTCTAACTCACAAACCCAGCAAAAAGCTAGCTGTTATTTTTGGGATAATAGGTAGGACTTAATTTTTCTTCTGGGTCAATGCTGAGTCAGATCCCTGGGGGCCCAGCCAACAATGGAGGCAGGTAGAGAGGAGGAGGAGAGAGACCTCACAGGGGAGAGCAGGCTGGCTGCAGCATCACCCCGTGGCTCTGCTCTGGCGACTGTCTCCCTCAAACCCTCATGAGGACAAGGGAGAGGCAGGCAAGGACCCTGATGCCAAGTGCAATGTGCTGTTGGTCTCAAGTGGTTTGTGTGACTTTTCCTTTTCGTAAGTCTCCTCACTGGTTGTTGGTTTTGTTGGTCTGTTTTTTTCCAGGTTGCAGTGGCCAACATGGATTTTTTCTTCATCTACCCTTTTCTGCTGGCGCTGCTGCTATCTCGAGGCAGCTTCGCAGACCTGGAAAAACAGAGGGTGGACTCTGGCTTGGAAATCTGTATCCTCTGCAGCCTGCTCCTTGTGACTCAAATACACGCTCATGCCTACTGAGGCTGGAGGGAGCTCATGTGCAGGGAAAGGGTCAGAGACCACAGAAAAGGCACGGGGAAGTGGAAAAGAGAGAATCCAGAAGCACTGGGAAATTGCTGCTTTGCTCTTCTGTAGAAGGGTTTTAGCCAAGCTCCTGGGTTTTCTAGCCAAGTGCCTGGCTTGGTGCAGGAGCAGAAATGGTGGTGGTGCCTGGTGTTCTGCTTTTTCTTTCTGCTCCATCATGCCGGGCACTGAGCATGTTTCCCAGTCTGCGCTTGGAAGTGGCATGGCCAGCTGGGTGGCAGAGCATGCCTGGGGTCTCAGTGCTTTGGGGTCACCAACTGGGGTGGTGGGAGATGACTTTTGGGCTTGTGGCACTTGGACTTCTCTGTGCCACAGGCATTTATTGCCCATGAGAAGGTGGGCTAATGCAAGCCCTTCTTAGCATGCAGCAGCATCCCCTGGTGAACAGGCAAAGTAAGAAAAGATATTATGTGGAGATACATATGGGGAAAGTGGGAGTTCATGTTCCTCCTCCAGCCCCTCAGCCAGAGCATGGACTGGCAAGCAGAAAGCACCCCACTTGCTCTCAGCATTGTTAAGGGTCCTGCTGGGGTGTCTGGGCAAGGGGGCTCACTGGAAATCTTTGTTTCATCCTGGCTCAGATGCTGCCCCCCAGCCCTCAGGCACGCCGAGGAGAACTGAGGAGACTGGGATGGTGCAGAGGGGCAAGGGAGCCAGAGGTGGCAGAGTGCCAGCAGTGCCCTTGACACTGTTGCAGATAAGAAGCTGTTTGAGGTTAAGCGCAAGGACCAGATGAACGCGCTGAAGAATCTGATTGAGCTCAATGACGTCAACCAGCAGTACAAAATCATTGACATCATGCTCAAGGGACTCTTCAAAGTGAGCCACAGCACAGGCCGCGCTTGGTGGGGCTGGGAAGGGTGGGCCAAAGTGGGGAGGGCTGGGGGGCCTCCATGGGGTCAAAGAGAAGAATTGTGTGGCAGGTGAGCTTTAGGACCTGAAGGGAGGATGCTATGGGGCTTCAAAGTGGGGCAGCTGGGGCAGCACCTCGAGGGTACAGGGAAGAGCTGGCGAAACAGGGCAGTAACTGAGGGTTCTGGCAGGTGCTGGAAGACTCTCGTGCTGTGCTCATTGCTGCTGATGTGCCTCCCGACGGGCCTTTCCCTCAGGATGAGAAGATAAAAGATGGTAGGTCCTCTCCAGTCTTTACCCCCCCGTCCTTTTTTGAGTGCTCTGGTGCATCACAGACATTCCTTCTGGGACTGGCATCAGGGTAGGTACAAAACCCCTGTGTATCCAGACCAGACCTGGGCTTGACCCTGTCTGTCAGGGACCTTATTGTTGCCTCTGACTAGCTTGTACTGGGGAACCTACCCATTTTAACTCAGCCTCCCCACCTCCTGGTGGGGACATAAATGCCAGTGGGATGGGGCATGTGTGACGATGGGGTTGGTGGCTGTCCCCACAGCATACTCCCACGTAGTGGAGAATACTGCTTTCTTCGGGGATGTTGTCCTGCGCTTCCCCAAGATTGTGCACCACTATTTCGACCACAACTCCAACTGGAACAGCCTCATCCGCTGGGGCATCGGCTTCTGCAACCTGACGGGTGTGTTCGAGCAGGGACCCCACTCCCAGGTCCTGCGGCTGGTATGGCTCCTGGTCCCTCCTGCCGTGTCCCTACTCTGCTGCTTAGGCTGGGGGGGTGAGGTTTTTGGGGTAAAAGGAGGGCAGGAGGAGTGTACTCCATGTCTGAGGGCTGTCCTTGGGCTGAGTGATGGGAGAAGAGCATAGAACATAGATGGGGCTGGTGGGGAGGAGGGGATCCTGGTCACAGTAAGGGGAGAGTGTGAGTGGGAGGCACCAGTGCCCGATGTGGTCTCCGCTTTGCTCTGCAGATGGCTCAGGAGCTGGGAATCAGCGAGAAATCGCCCGATTACCGCAATCCCTTTAAAACGGACCACTCAGAGGTAAGACAGCAATGCTGCCAGCTCACCTTGTGGGCTTTCCCCATCGCAGCTCCAGGCAGCTGGCTGGGGAATGGAACAGGCATCTCGTTGGGAATAGCCAAAACCCCACTGAGGAAGCATGGCTGAAACACACTGAATTCACTGGCTGGGGTGCAGTTGACTTTAGGCACCTGGTACCATCTCCTCTCTCTTGTGGCCACCTGCCCCATGGTCGAGATCCTATTTGCCTCATGCCACATCCGTCCTCAAGCCCCCTGGCACCATGAGGCTTGTGCGTTGGCTTTGGCAGGGGGTTGTGCCTCTGGGAGGCTTTGGGGCTCCCCCATCCTGACCCCTTGCTGTCAATCCACAGTTTTTCCCCAGCGCTGACACCTTTCAGAAGGCGCTGAGGGACGAGGAGAAGAGGAGGAAGAAGGAGGAGAAGCGGAAGGAGATCCGCAAGGGCCCGCGCATCTCCCGCTCGCAGTCGGAGCTGTAGCGTGCGGGGGCTTGCGCCTTGCAGTGGGGGAGACACCACTGGGACGCAGAGTGGCTCACTCTCTCTCGGCAGCCTTTGGCCAGTGCCTGGCGGTCCCCTTTCCGTTTGTGCCGTGGGTTTTGTTTTGTTGCCTTTCCCTTTTGTTCAGTGGAGATTGGGTGGCAGTGCTGGTGGGTTGCCCCAGTGCAGCTGGAGTGGGGTATGCCTTCCCCACAGCTAAAGCACAGACTAAAGGAAAAGCAGTGGGGCCATCCCCTGGGCTGGTTGGGGTGCTGCTGCCTGTGGGGATGTAGGGTGTGGGGGACATGCTGTGCCTGAGGAGCCCAGGAATCCCTCCACTCCGCAGCACACTCTACACTGAACCTGCCTTCTCCAACATGGGTGGGCTGGGGAGTGCATCACACCAAACAGCCTCATGAGCAATGCTGCTTCTCTCAGTTTTGGTTTTCGTTTTGTTAAACTGGTGATCTCATTGGCACCCCCCACCCGGCTCTACCTGGTCTCTGCACAGCTGCTACCTCTGCCAGATCAGCTCTCCCCTCTTCCCAGTGGCTCTCTTACCGGGGAACATGCATTTCATTGTTCAGATGTAGTTTAAAAGGCCAACGGCATCTGTTCCTGGCCTGATGGCATCTTGTTCTCCTATGCAGCCACCACTGGGCGTTCCCGCAGGGAGGCAAACACACGGTGAATTTTTTGAAGGAATTTCAGTACTTGGCCTCTTTGCAGCCAATGGGTGGCTGTAGTGCAAGCCCTGCTGATGCTGAAGGTACTAGGGAACCAGCCCCCAGCCGCTGTGAGCCTGTGCTGCACCTCATGCCCTGCCCCTGCCATCCTGCCCCCATCCCTCCTCTGCAGCGCTCATCCTCTCTAAGTTAGACTCCAAAGCCTCTTTGGCAGAGGGACTGCCAGATAAGGGCATGTGGGCATGGCAGGGCCGAAGCAGGGAGCGAGCCAGCTGGGGAGCAGAGGTGAGGGGCTGGCCCCGGGCCCCGGCACAACCCCCCTGCTGTTTCCCACCATCGTTGATGACCTCGCACCAGAGGAGGCTCTTGCAGAGGGACCATCCCCAAGAAGCGGGTGCTCTGTGCCGGGCTGGAAGCATCGCAGCCTTTGGGAAAGGGGAAACGTCCTGAATTTTTAACAGCAGAGCCAAGTCTCTCCAGTGGGGGGGTGGCAGTGGGCGCGAGTTTGATTTTTTTTTAAATAAAATTGACTTTATTTTATTTTATTTTATTTTTTTAAGTAAAAGAAGCGTGGCTTTTGCTCCCATTCCTGGGGGGAGCGGGTGCGCGCCAGAGGGCGTCGAGGCTGGGCCCCCCAGGAGGTGAGGGTCCGCGGGAGCTGCGCAGGGAAGGACAAACCCCATCCTTTCCCCAGCGGCGCCTCCCACCTGGCCTTCGCGCCTTTGAGCCTGGCGGGCAGCCCGGGGTGCGGGCACCTGCCAGCGGATGTTTCCCCTGGGGGCAGAGGGAGGAGGGCGGTGATGGCGTCGCTCCCACGACGTGTCCGCCGTGCGTGGCCCCGACACCGGCCCACCTTTCATGAATATTCACATGAAGGGGAGCGGGCCGCCCATGCTTAATCGCAGCTGCCTGATCACGCGTGACGGCGCCATCACACCAACAGTCGCGCCGCGCGGCCGCCGATTTGCCGCGGGCGACCTGGTCATCATTGACAACAATCCCGCGGGGAGGACGCGCGCGCCGGGGCCGGGGGCCGGGGCCCGGGGGCTGCCCAAGATGGGCCGCGGGGTCGGCGGCACGACCGCCGGTAAAGCGACAGCAGCAGGCAGCGTCCGCCTGAGCGCCCGGGGCGGCGAAGCGGCGGGCCGCGCACAATGGGAGGGCGGGCGAGCTGGCGCACGAGAGCAATGGAAGAACACCTGACCGACTGGGCGACGAGCTCACCTGGGCGAACATCGACGGTGGGCGCCCGTGGGAAACGGCGACCGGGGGATTGGTGGGGGCTGCGCCCGTGGGCTCCCCATGCGTGGTGGGGGGAGCGCTTGTGTCTCCCCGCGGGCCCGGGGCTGCTGGTGCCGCCCGAGGGGGCAGGACGCGTGGGTGGGGTGGTTCTTGGATCATGCTGCGGGGGGTGTCCCCCCCCTCCCGAGCACGGAGTGGGAGCACAGGGTGGCCGCCCTGGCTTGGCCCCTCTGCGTGGGGTGCGCTTCCCACGCGGGACGGGCTTCCCATGCGAGCGGGAATCCCCCGTCCTGGGTGGGGCAGGCGGGGGTGCGGGGCGCGACCCGCCGGGCAGCGCTCGCCTATCGAGCGGCCACGCGTGTTGTCCCTGCGTGTGTCCCCGCGTGGCGCGGGCAGCCCACGGCCGGCCTTGCCTGGGGAGCGCTTCTGGGAAACTCCCGTGGAGCTGACCCACGCCTGAGGCAGGCGAGAAAGATGTGGTAGCCGCAAGGAGCCAGTGTGGACGTGGGGGTCTTCCCACCCGTGGCCGGCCCGGGAAGGGGTCGGCAGAAAGTACTTGGCATGTCCCTCTGCTCCTGCCGCAGACCCGCGGGGCAAACGGCGCAGTCCACGTTCCACTCGTGTTTCCTCGCTCTCTCAAAGTAGGTGCTAAACGATGGCCGGAGCTGTGTCGCGACTAGTGGCTGTGGGAGGCCGAGCCTCCAAGCCCTCCGGCACCGAAACAGCTCTAACTGCTTAAATTTCCCTTTTTTCACTGTCATCTTAAAACTTCACCGCGTCGCTGGCACAGCTCAGACCCGTGAGAAAATCGCTGTTTTCTGCCGAAGTGCAGCAAAACAAAGCGCCTGCGTGTGACGCTATTTTATATGTATTTTTGGTGACACCAAGCAGCTCCTGAAAAGCTATTTAAAATGTCATTTCTCTGTGCGGTCTCTGCTATAGGCTAGAGACAGGGTCCTGGCTCAGTTCACTGCTCTGCTGGGCTGTAATCCCAAACTGAGCTCAGCTTTGGGGGCTGGAGTGTCCAAAGCATCCTTGTTTAGCCACTGGGAGATAAAATAATACCAGTGCTTCTAGATTTCTAATTGACATCGATTTGCAGTGTAGCTTGGGGCAAAATTTATACTCCATTTTTCTTTGTCATATATAAAAGAAGAATATACCTTATGAAAGTGCAAGGGGCTTAGTTATTGGTCATAAAGTTTGATGGTGCTCATCCAAGGTAGTGTTTGCCGTTGTTTAAGCACCATGTAATGAGTTCTCAGGTTGCATACAGAAACAGAGGCGAATTGATGAACCCAGAGATGGCTCTGAACTGAGGTGTGCCCGGGGAGGTGTGATTCAGAGCGATGAGTAACTTAGGAAAACGAGCTTCACTTTCCTCCCCAGCTCCAGGGGTGGATTTTCCTGGGGGAAGGTGGGGGGAAGGTATATGACAATCCTGCTTTTTTTTTTGTACTCCAACATGGATTTGTCTCAGGGTTTGAAATTTTGCAAAGATTTTCATTTGGTTTTTAAGTTGTCTTGTTGGTGTACCTCTCCCATTCAGGCTGAGGGACTCCCTCACTGCGTCTTGTGTGGATTTTGATTTTCTGTGGTAGATGCGCCGACTGCTGTGGGATCTGTCCCACACACGGGGGTCATAGCAAGGGTGGTCAGAGGGTCCCAGTGCTGAGCCTGAAGGCTCTGCCTCCTACCCCAGCACAAACTCCTCCACCACCCATGGGTGCCTTCTTGTTGGCAGGACACTGCTGGGTAACACCGGAGCACGAGGTTTGAGTTGGTCTTGGGTGTGAAGCATGTCAGGGTTCAGGGCAGAGGGGTTATTTCTGTTGAGGTTGGAATCTCCGCCACTTTTCATTTCTCAAAGCACAGCGTCTCCAGGAGTGTGAGGAAGAGCAGCCTGTGTGCTGAAGAGCTGAGCCACTGCCCGGAAGAGGCAGCTGAAGCCCAGCCCTTGCCTTTCTGCCAGGTATTCAGTCCCTGGATTAATGAAAGCAACAGAAGCCCTTGGTGGGCTTGGTTTTGTAATACCTTGTTGACATTTTTTAGCCTTGGGCTGGGCCAGGATAGTTTCTGCAGTAACATGTCACTCTGCTTTAGGGGCCGAGACCTCTCCAGCACAAAGGGTGCCGGTGCTCTGGTGACACTGTGTTTATCACTGATGGCTGGTCCTTCAGAAGCAGCCGAGGTTTCTCACAGTGAGTGTAGACACTAAAGGCGTTTTAAAAGGCAAAGGTTTAGATTTTGGATGTTGGCTGTTTCTTCTGCATTATATTTTTTGTGTGTTGTTACTAGGAAAGTTCTTGGGCCCTTTAAAAGAGGTGGCTTTGATTCCCTCATAGTCTTAATTCTTTAAAATTAATCTTTGGACTTTTTGCATTTAGCCCAAGTTAACTCTGTAATAAAGATGTAGTTTAGCTTGTGAGAGCAGGAGTAGTTTTTTTAATAAGATATTAAATCTACTGCACTGAACACAACATTCTTTAAAACTCAATGGTTGAAATTTGGTTCTTATGCTGGAATTTACTAAAATCTCATCCGATTTATGTTTATCCCCCACTTGCAGTAGTGCTGTCTGATAGTGAAATAGCAGTACCATCAAATCAAGAGTTTGAGAAGTAGTTTTTTATCATGTTGAGGTTTATTTGGGATAGTCTTAGCTGCAGTCGGTTGGAGGGTGAAGAGCTATTTCATATCCATCTAAATGTTATGCACAAGTGTTAATCTTGAAACAGCCCTCCTTGCTCTGGTAATGTTTTATTAAAGCCAGCTGAGGGAATGCATAAAAAAAAAAAATCTTTTGTTGATATAGTGAAAAGTAGAGACAAGGGCTTGGTCCAGCTGGTCCCTGAGGGTGGCTGCTGCCTCATGCTGGGGGAACTGTGCGTCCCCACTTCAGTGTCAGGTTATGAATAGGTCAGGAGGATGCTTTGCCTCTCGGGCTCCTCCATCCCACAGACCTGAGTTCTTACGAGAAGTGTCATGGTGAGTGCTTAAATGTTTGTCAGGGTGTGGAGGGATTGCGATTGGAAGGAAAGAGTAATAGTGTCATAGAAATATGTTGAAACCTGTGTTGAGGGAGCAAGAAGCTTGGAGGAGGATCCATCCCTTTGCTCTGTTTCAGCTGAAGGAGTGTCAGACAAATTAATTGGATAATGTGTGGGTGGCATTTTGGAGAGGCAAATTAATAACCATCTTATTGCTGGGACAGCCTCCATAGGAACTTCTTGTGAAAAGTTTACTGCTTCAAATCCGCTTCATAAACCACAGCAGCAATGTCCTTTGGGTTTGTGGATGAGAAAGGTCCTGGTGTAAGGAGCACTTTACCACATTTTTTCCTATAAATCAGAGATCTGTTTTCTGCTTCCTAAACTCTTATTTATTATTTTCTTATAAACTCTCTCTTAGGTTTGTGGGTTCCCTCCTTTTTTTCCTACTTCCAGAAAAAAATAAATAGGACTTTTAGAAAACTGTGGAAAAACCAATGCAGCAGGGGCAGATGCTG